CGCCGGGACGATCCCCCGCGGTAAATTAGCCCGCGTGCAGCCCACGGTCGAGGCCGCGCGTCCGCCGGATGACCGGTCGAAATCCTTGTTTGTTTGGGAACCTTACTTTTATGATAATTTGAAACAGGTTGGCGGCATCTTTCATGTCACCGGATTTGATTTGTTGCCCTTTATTTAATTTTCTCTCCTGGATTCGAACACTTCGCCTCCGCTTCACCCCCTCCTGCCGTCGCCCCGCACCGCCTGGTTTCATTTTTCTCTCTCTCACACACACTCAAGCGCGCACGCACGCGCGATGAACGAAACTTTTATAATTGCATTCTCATTTGGCACTCAAAGCAGACCACCGCAGGCTTGGCATCGACTCACACTCCCAACTGAGTGTTTTCCTAAACCCTCTCTGCAGAAAGTCGCAGAAAGTTGCCTCTTTTCACGGGCCGCACAACGCAAGTGGACGCAGTTCGAGATCACAGTGATGTGGCGATCCTGCCTTTGAGTCCTTGGCGTGCACGGCGGCCATGAAGCGCCACCACCAAATTGACTCAGCAGCCGCCGGGACCAGAGACCGGCCTGGACCGCACACAGCCTCGAACGGACTCCCACTGTGACGAGCCCGATCGCTTAATAGTGTTGTAGAGAATTGTGGGTGCTGGACAATCCGTAGTTGGGCAGTTTCCCGAGGACAGTCTTGATACAGTCTTTTTTTTTCGATTGAGACTCGCAAGTGGTCGATAAAAGCAAACTCGATAGACACTCCACTTGAAATGACCTCGCAAAACGTGCCGCACATTCTCACAAAAGAAACAGAGTGCCTTTTCGAAACAAAAAGAGAAGCGCTCCCCCCGCGTGTGTGTAAAGCGCACTGCAGGCCGACATGGGTTCTGTCTTGTAAACGAGTTCCAATTGGGGCTGCTGCTGCTGGCCGGCGCTGCGCGGGCCCTTTGGCGCCAGAGAGCTGCCCGGCTCCTCCGAGAGGACCCCCTCCGAGGAGGAGGCCGGCGTGGCAGCGCCGTGGCAGTGGCGTGGCAGCGCCGTGGCCGCCCCCCAGCTGGTGGGAACGGCCGAACGATTACCTCGAGTACGTTTGGCTTCTGCTTCTCGACGCCGCGTCCGATTGGAGTTCCGTCTCCGCCTGGGTCTTCCCTCCCTCTCTCTCTCTCTCTCTCTCTCTCTCTCTCTCTCTCTCTCTCCGCACACACACATGCCGATTCGAGCCTTTCGTCTTGTCGCGCGTTGAGGTTCCTCGAGGTCGCGCGGCTCGCTGCATCCCTCCGCGCTTGGCTCCGCCCCCTTCACAGCTCGTCAGCGCTCGTCAGCAGCCCAACAAGCGCTCGTCAGCAGACTCATTCCGAACAGTGGCGCTGCCTCTCTCGCACTCACGGGCCGCTCCGCGGCGGTGCGAGAGAGACAGACGCAGTTCCGGATCCGTCTGCCGGCCGTGAACGCGGCGGCCGAAACGGCCAAATGAAATGTGACCGGCGACTCATTAGCTGCCATTCGATCTGACCACTATCCATCAGAGAGAGAGAGAGAGAGAGAGAGAGAGAGAGAGAGACAGAGAGAGCACACTGGGGCACCAAAACGAAAAAAAAGCCCTGTTTGGAATCAGGCGGCCATTGCCGTTGTGTGCTCGCGTCTGCCTCTCCCGCGGAGGAGCGGGTCAGGCCAGCCAGCCGTCCGTTTGATGCGCCGCCTGTCACTCTTGACGTGAAGACCATAATCAATTTAACGGGCTGATTGATTTCGAATTAGTTGAGTGTGTCGGTATGCCCCACACACAGACAGCACCAACACACGCTCACTTTCTCTCACACACACGCTCTCCCACTCAAACGCGCTGTTGGCGAACGGGCGTGTCGTTTTTCACACCTATCAGTGCGTTGAAGTGCTGGGCCTTAATTGTCTCGCTGAGGATGAGTCATATGGCTAGTTGAGCCCTGAGCCCTTATTTTTGAAATTGAGAGGGACTGTTTTTGTGCTGTTTCGGGGAATGCCATGACGCTCCGCGCGCCAGCCCAGCGTACTGGCTGACAAAGTGAGGTTAGGTGAGGTTAGGGTTGGCTTGCTCTAACAAGGTGTCGACCCCCTGCTGCTGCAGCGAGCCGGCTAGCCGAGCCAGACCAGCGTCCGAAAAGCCGCCTCCGTCTCCCTCGCGCCCCTTCGGGACGCCCCGCGAGCGCGAGAGGGACGGCGCGACGCCAAACCGGTGTTCGGAATCTGTCGGGCCGCGCAGAACCGATAAAGCCGATATCGGCGCCACGCCGCTCTAGTTAAGAAAGGCTTGCCTGCCTCCCAGATATACGACCGGCGTCGGTGACTGTTGCAGCCGTGCGGCTTTACGGACCGACCGTCCCAGCGGGAACAGCAAAGAGCGTGTCCGACCAGATGGGATTTTACTCTGTCCTGGGCGTGCCGATCTTGTTTTCCAGTTTTGCAGCACTATTTTTCTGGGCGATGTACTTTTGTCCCTACACAGCGAGAACGCACGCACAGAGGACTTTCCAAAAGTCGTTTCCGTCGCTCTGTCCCCACAAGGGACGCCCCATGAGTGCGAGAGAGACAGGGCGACAAAAACGACTGTCGGAGTCAGTTGGAAGGGAATGACCGCCCCTGCCGATACTCCCGCTTGCCTCTGGCAGTCTCTGGCGCGCGGGGTAGCGACCGCAGCGACGGTGGCACACTAGCCTGCCGCTTCCGCCTGGGTGGGCCCCGACTAATTCGAATGATTAAAAGCATCCCGCGGACACCGTCCCTCTGTCTCTCTCGCACCCCTCTGGAACGCCGCGCGAGTGCGAGAGAGACAGCCTGCAGCGTGGGCCGACACGCGTAGGCCGACTGCTTCTGGGCATAGACTGCAGAAGACACGCCCGGCACACACACAGTCGCACTCACTCACACACACGCGCCGCCGCGGACACCATCTCACTCACTCGCATGGGCGTGCCGTCGGCCTGTGCAGCCAGCGCGGTGGGCCGGGCCGGTAGCGGCGCGGTCGGTAGCACGGTGTACTTTGTCGCTCAGGACTCGACTCGACTCGGGTGGGCGGCTGAAGCTGGAGCTGCAGCCCGTCAAACGAATCGAAATTTGTTGCTCCAGTCCACGGTGGGTGCTCCAGTCCATGCTCCAGTGCCGTCCGCCGGCCAGCGAGGAGTAGTTCCTGGCCTCGCCGCCGCCCCTGGGCGCTGTGTGCTGGAGAGCGGCCGGCCGCGTTGGTTGGGTGGCCTACACTGCCGGGCGCGTCCCTCCTCATGCTTCTACAGTGCAGGTCGCCTAGTAGGCACGCAGCCCATCGTGCATGAAGGCGCCAGAAGAGTTGCCTACCCACCAGGCGCTGATTTGATGCCAGTGTGGTGACGCTACGTCAGAAAGGCTTGTGTGTGAACAGGTGCTCGTGCAGGTGACGTGATGTGCGCGATTTGTAACGTGTCTGCTCAATGGAGGCCCAAGTAGACAAAGCACATAACCCACAGGACCTCGTCAATGAGTATTTTCTGCAATATTGGAAAGGCTCAGATATTTTGCTTGTGATTTGACAGACATGGCAAAACGCAAGATTTTTGACAAGCTCAGAAAATAAAAATAAAGTTTTAGCTGTTCTTTTTTAATTTAAAAATATTACTAAACAATGACTTTTTTCTTCTGCAACATCTCTGAAGTCTAAATGCTGTCGACTCAAGAGGTTGCCATGGCATCATACAATGTGTAGCGTGATATTCTCACAGGAGCAATATTTTATAACACTATAAAGCTTAAGTAAAATCAAAACAGTTAAAGGTTTAAGGAAAAGCAAGGTAAAATATAAATCAGCTAAAATCTTATCTCAAATCAAGGCAAGAGCCCGTATCACAGTATGGCTACACTCAAAAGTGAATACAACTGAATACGCCCCATCAGACAGGCAAACTACAACAAATTTTTAAGTAAAATACACATTTGTACATTCAATCAATCGGCGATCAAATTCATTAACATTTCACTTATTTTACAATTCTAGTCTTCTAAGTCACACATTTCTAAAACAACCGCATGGCAGTCGCCATTCATACTGAAACGATTACCAAAGAATCTTCGAGAGTGAATAGGACTCACCAGTTGGTTCACATACATAAAACTTTAAGAACAACACAAATTCAAATCACTAATCATGACTAAAACACAAAAATGCATTAAAATACTTCTTTTATGTACCATGCTGTATGTAGTACATTCCCAGAAGGAGACCAAGGACCCATGATCAACTTCATGTAAAATGATCCTCCTGCAGAAGGCAAACTTGAACCCTGTAACTTTCATATGTAAAGAAATATAGTAAAAATATTTTCTGGCATCATAACAAAAATAACTACGCTACACAATACACAATGGTAGAGTGTAATGTTTTAAAAAATTATTAATGTAGGAACAGAATGGAGTTACTCTAAATTTCTAGTTCATCTATGAATAATTCTTGTGTACTCTCAAATATATTTTTATATCATGCTTGGTCTTACTAGAAGAGACTAAGTCATTTACAAACCTTTCTACTGATATCACAAAGTAGAAATTATTTCACAAGTAATGCCGTAACAGCAGACTTGATTATATCCTATGCGGCACAAAACAGAAATATAAAACAATCGTCAGAGTAATGCAATAAACATGATACAATACAACAAACATCAGAACAAACAAAACAAAATGGGTAATAACTTAGATAAAAAATTGATTCCCACTTATCACTCACATTCTGCAGTAGTTTGGCATTCAATGACACTTACACTTAAAACTCCTATCCAACAATGACTTGAGCACAGCAGGTACATCATATTAGCTCAATAAAGTACTTTTCATGACTATTAGCACCATTTACTTAATGAAGAAAAACTAAGAATTTGAGCATCAACAAAACTAAGCAAGAGCTGAATAGACAAAATATGCTATTGCTCTAGATGATTCCAAGCAAAATAGATTACAAACAAGTGGGAAGCCAATATGTATACACCAGAATAAATATCAATCAATTAAGTTTCTTTCTCACTCTTTGTTAAGGTCTGTATCTTGAACACACAATGGGCCACAACAATATGATGTACGTTTCTGTCTTCAGGTAAATTTACAACTTACTTATGTGTGATGAAATTAGTTTACATCTATAATGGCATCACTTTGGTTGTTTTTTATGTAATAAATTACATATACATATATCTTTAAGATTAAAGGAAAACAAAAGACAAGGGAAGAATGTGCCATTATGACATAAAAGAAAAGAAAACAAAGAAGAGAACATACACAAACGCTTTTGTACTCTCTCTGTGTCTCTCACGCACACACAAAGGAAAGCTTGAGCAATGAACATAATGGAAGCAAGGGTAGCACTTTCTTCTCACATGAATGAAGTATAGAAAAATTGTTTAAGATATGCATGACAACATGCATTGAAGCATGTACTATACATTTGACACTGATGACATAAGTGGCTTTGACTGGTGGCTAACAGGTGGCTCTTTTCGCCGGAATGTGACCCATGTATAGACCAAACTTCCAATGACGCTGAAAAAAAAAATTAACAAAAGAAATTAGAAACACAGTTGTTAGCAGTTGGTAGCAAATGTAACATTAAAACCCTGATGCCTTACCTAAAATTAATTCCAATGAAATTGACCCAACTGAAAATATAGTCACCACCAATGACCATTCCCAAGTATGTAACGCTAATATTTTTTAAACAACCAATAATAGTTGTTGTCAGAGCTGAGTTATAGTGGGTGCATAAAATTACACTGTATGAAAGAATGAAGCCCATGATGCAGGAAAGTATGAATTGTGAGAGGAACATGAAATTTCCCCAATCAGGAAACTCAAGGGCCTGAAATCACAACACAAAACATAAAGGGTATAGCCAAAAGACTTTCAAAAAAGTACAAAATCTTAAAAAAACTTCACTTACTTTGTCAATCTCTCCAAGACTGAATGCAAACAAAAATGAGGGTATGACCATAAAGAGAGAATTGTAGTAAGTAAGGCCATACTTTCCTAGTTCTTTGGAATCTAACTTTTTCTTCATGTAAACACCTTGGGTAGCAGTGAAAAAGTCATTCATCAGAACGAATATATAACCTTCTGCAGTAAAAGCAAGGTCATTGCTGAAAACGGAAACGAAACAAATTACATTATTCAGGTATGTTACAAACAATATAATAATATATGAACAATATCTTGCTTATTTTACCTTGCAGCTACAAGAGCACCAATAATCATGGTGTATACTGAGAACTGAACTGCCACACTTGGCTTCACTCTGAAACATCAGACAGATTTTTGTGTTTATTCATGAAGTTTAAACAAAGCAGCATTCTAGTTAAAAAAAACTCACCCAAGAATGTAAAATTCTGCCACCATAGTCATTAAGATTGAAAATCTTCGTAAGGCAGTGAACATGGGCAAACTGATCACAAAAGAAAACAAATCAATAACATTCCAAAAAGCTTCGGGGAGCAAATTGTAAAGGAACAGTTTGAGCAACTCATACCTCAATTCTTTGGTTCCTCCGAGTCCAAAAGTGACATTTCCTATGTAAATGAGAGGAAGGGGCCATATCTGTAACAATGCAAAGTGTATAAGTCAACCTGAAAAATAAATAAAATGGACACTGCGTGTGGAAATAAGTAAAAGTGGCTACTCACCTTCCTTAATGTGCTTGATTCTAAGTCAGGGAAAGATATCATTCCTAATTTCTTAGCTGTGTAGAGAACTATGATTGTAGCGAACATCTGACCTAACGCTAAGCATTGAAAAGATGGAAAGCTGCAAAGGGACAAAGACAAGACAGTAGTTATTCACTCCGAAGAAACAGGCACTTTAATAAAAAGACAGTAAGAAGTTGCGGTAATTGTGACAGTTCACATTTAATGTGAAAACACTTAAAGTTGATAAATTCCAGCACTTGAAAATTTAACTATGATTTCTCACAAGCTCCAACATTATAATTCCAGGCATAATGTCAACATAAATCGTCAGGAAAATGTTGCTTGCGAGAGCAGCAAAGAGATTGACTACTGGCACAGAAAATTACCCAAATGTTTACAATGTCACCCTTAACCTAAGCATTGCAACCCCCGCAGGCCTCGGCCGTCAAAACTTACTTGTAAGTGGTGAGCACTGTTTTATTCACGACAGTGATCATGAAGGACGCCGCACCGTAGAACACCGCCGAGCCCACTCTCTTGAACATGAGCGATTGTCTGTCTCTGTCACTGGCGCCGTCGTCCCCGAGACCGATTCCGTTCCCGACCACCCCCATGTCGACTTGGACTCGAGTCGCCCGCGCCTAAGAACGCACACCCCACAAACGCGACACACGCTTACTTCCCAGCGTCCCAGATTCACGCGTTTCTTATCACACAGCAGCGACAGATAAAACGACTAGTTTTATTTGACATTGTAGTCGAGCAGGAAGCACGTAGAGTGTGGTTCGCGTAGATCGGCCCAAGTACTGACTAAACTGACGTACGAAAACAAAAGCAGACGGCGCTGGGCTGCCGCGCAACGCAACGCGAGGCTAGCGGGGCTCCGCGACCGGTGCTGCTCCCCGCGGCGAGACGCGGAACTGACAAGCTGTTTGCTGGTCCGTCCCGTCCCGTCCGCCTGGGGACCCTCCACGTCCGCCTAGACGTCCCGTCCGCCTGTCGATCCCGCGGTCATGTGGGGCGTTTCGAGTTCCTGTGATGCATGCGACCCGATGCAACCACACTCTTGCGAACAAGCCGAAAAAAATACATAGCTGAGACAAAGTGATCGCTGGAGAAAACCAGTGTCTTCTCCAGGCCAAGTATAGTGGATAACCGCAGGACGGCAGTCAGCATCAAGGACGTCCTGCTGCTCAAAACACCCGCAAACTGCACAAAATCAGATCCCAAATGGAGTATCAAATTGAAGCGCGTTGTTGTCGTGCCGTGGTCGTCGATTCATCGGGCCTTCCCTCTTTCCAGTGTCGCGGCGACGGAAATAGAACAGCTCTGTCTCTCTCGCTCTCCACGGGGGGGTCCGTGGGGGTGCGAGAGAGACAGAGCGAGGCAGCCTGTGGGATCCTGTCCGTCCCGTCCCGTCGGACCGGGCGATTACCGACCGCGGCCTCTGGGTCACGTAGGCTTAACTTGATCAGCATCCAGCAGTGGAAGTGCATCATCCTCGAGGATGGCTGGCGACGTGGCCGCCGTTGCGTCAGCCGTCAGCCCCACTGTAAGTTTGAACCTGAAGCGGTGGCAAACTGTTGCTGCGGCGCGGCCGTGACTTCGTGCGGAGCGAGGTGGACTGTGACGTCGACGGTCCAGGAGGACGGCGGTCTTCTCGTCGCCACGGTGCAGGTCGGCAGGGCTGTCTCTCTCGCACTCGCGAGGCGGTGTAAGAGAGACAGAGCGACGGAGCACTGGCAGGCGTGGAAACGATGACGCTCGAATAATGCAATTTTTGCTCACCTTGGCCAAGCCTCGAGCTCTGGGGCTCCTTTGATGGGGTGCCGAGGGTGCCGCCATCGTCGCCGAGTCCTCGGTCCTCGAGTGAGGCGGCTTGCTTCGCCTGCTCCGCCGAGCCGACGAGGAGCGCCGGGCGGCCGTCGCCGTCACGACGCCAGTCACCACGGCGTCACGATACGGTGACGCGCAGAGGCGACGTCGGGCACGATTACCGTTTACAGTAACCAAACATAGCGAGAATGCTTTTCTGCATTCGCGCTGCTGCCGACGCCTCGCTGAACCATACCAGCGCGGCAGGACGCTCGTGGTCCACCTTTTTTCGAACCAGGGTGTTTTTTGTTTCCCGTTTGGGCTATCGATCTACAGTGCTGAGCCCGTACAACCAGCGCAACCAGGTGCGACATGCGGGTGCCAACCGGCAGTGCCGTCTCTCTCGCACTCGTGGGGCGTCCCGCACGGGTGGGAGAGAGACAGAGCGATGCATGCCTGTTCGGAATGAGTGGACGGCTCAAGACGTCGCCGTCGTGTCGTCGGGGCAGGCCAAGGGGCAGGCACTGCGCTTCACTTGCAGTGGACGGACGGGCAGACAGACAGGTGCAGCGCCACACAGACAAACAGACACACCCAGGAAGGCGGTCCTGGAATGCGCCAAAGGCGGCCAAAGGCAGTGAGCGAAGGGCGAGCGGCTAGCGGGCTGCAGGGCGTCAAACGAGCAGGGCCAAGGGCACCGGGGCCACGGGCTGGACTCTGGCGGGGCTGGCTGGCCCAGGGATCAGGACTCCAGTCTGGAGGCGCCAGTCCAGTCCGCAGTCCGCGGCCGTTCGGCGACGGCCGTTGAACCGTCCCAGCTCCGGCGCGTCCCGCCCCGCCACGCCACGCCATGTTCGTTCACACTGCTGACATGACGCTGCGCTCTGCACGCCCTGGAGGCCCCATCGGCTCCAGCGCTGAAGCCTCAAGGTGGCTCCAGTGGCTCCAGGAGCTCCAGGAGCTGCAGGCTGCCAGAGGACGAGCAATAAATACAATTATTATTATTACCTTGGTCTCGTCGCGACGGCAACAGAATTCCGCGCCGGCGGGGCGTGGCAGCGTGGCTGCGCGGCAGTGTGGCGGTTGCTATCGACTGGCAGCGAGATTCCCAGTAAATGACGCCCCCCTTCCCCCTCGGCGAGCTGAAGCAAAGAGCATGCCGCGGAGGCTGCAGCGACGCCGAGCACCGCGACGCGGCGACGCGGCTACCTGCCGCAAATCGCAGTTTCAAACAGCAGTCAGAGGTGTGGAGGTTTATGGCTCGGCGAGGTGAGTGGCATGCTGGACAAGTATGCAGGTGTCTGCGCGCGTCGCCGACGGTGTAGGCAACCCGCCGGCCTTGGGGTTCTAGAGTGCAGCGGCCTAGGCAACCCGCCGGGCCGACGGCCTAGGGCGTCTCCGTGGAGCGGCGCTGCAGGCGCAGTGTGCCTCCGTGCAGGGCCCCGCCCCGCGCCGCAACCTGCAACGCCCTTGAAAGTGCGGAGTGTGATGAGAGGGCAACGTCCGGCACGCCGGCGGGGCGGGGCGGGGCGGGGCGCGGTGGAGCCCCGCCCGGAGTAATGTGCATGCGCCCGCCCCGCCCCGCCCCGCCCCGCCACACCGGTCAGCTCGGACGAGTCGGCCTCCTGATGGGCCCTTCGCTAAGGCCCTTTATGGCTAGAGAGGCCCCCTTGCTGCCAAAAGCCCTTCCAGTGCCGAACGGCCGTCGCGGCCAGCGCACAGTGGGCCAGAAGACCGGTGGAGGCGGCCTAAAGTCTAGACGCGTTTTGAGCTGCAGAGTCGCTAAGCAGGACTCGAACCGGACGTGTGACCCCACCAATGGATTCCCCGTTCGGAGAGCAGTCCATTGGTGGGGTCACACGCTCGGTTCGAGACCCACAGTGCAGCAGTCCAAATATGTTCCAATCTTGACGCGGCTGGTCGCGACGCTCGAAAAAAATCGTAGTGGAGTGCAACGACGCCAGCTTGGCCATCGCGGAGGGCGTGGCGCTGGCGGCGTGGCGGGGCGTGGTGGCGGGGCGTAGTGCAGCCCAGCATTAGCTTTGGACTAATGGCCATTGCAGCCAAGACCGGCCACATGCAAGTGCATGCACTGCGCTGGCTGCGCTGTGCCGGCCGGACTAGTGCCGGACCGGAGTCGAACACCAGGGCCTGGCCGACTAGGGCCCCAGGGATCGCACCGCCCCGCGCCGTCTAACCGTTATTTTGACTCGAAAAAAAAATTCAAGCGACTGAGCTAAGCAGCGCCGCCGCCACCCTCCAGACGCAAAGCTGTCTGTCTGTTTGCCTGTCCGTCCGTCTGCCTGAGGTCACGACTAGCCCTCCAATTGTGGCCGGCGTGGCGCCATCCCGGAACACACACCATTCCGGGAATTGTTGGCGCTTGGCACAGAGAGCGGCGTGGCGGCGCGTTGCGGCCGGCCGGACGATCCTTCAAGTCAGGCAGTGCGTCTCGGTGACAGGCAGACGCTGACGGGCTGACGTGGCGACACGGGGCGTTGCGGTGCGTGTGGCACGCGCCGCGCAGCGCGCACGGCCGTGACAGTGCGGGGGCAGTCCGAAGGCCTTGCCCAAGGCGAAGCAAGGCGACGGCCAGGACGGCGGCGTGGAGGGCGGCGAGTGAGGCAAGACACTGGACGGACTTGGCCGCCGCCACGACGGCCGCCGTCCTGGGTCCTGCGGGGCCTCTCGCGACGCGTCCTGCGCCACTAACCTCAAAGAGACGATGCTGCACTGTAGAAACCGCAGCCACACCTGCATAGCAGCCGCGCCGCCGCCGCCGGCGATTTTGAAAAAGAGCGCAAGGCTGTGGTCATCCCGGTTTAGCCCATCGCAGGGAATGCAGGGGCGGAGCACAGTGAGCCAGAAGACCGGCGCAGGCGGCCAAAACTCTGAAAGAGTTGCTAAGCAGGACTCGAACCAAACATGTGACCCCACCAATGGATTCCTCGTTCGGAGAGCAATGCAGTGGTGGGGTCACACAGTCGGTTCGAGTCCGGCTTAGCGCCTCTGGAGCTCGAGTTACGGCCGCCGGCGCCGGCGCCTGGCCCACTGTGCGTGGCAGGCACGTACTTCGTACTTCCCGCGAAGCCATTTTGGCGGTAGAAGAAGCTCCGCTAGCGTCATCGGCCGTCGCCGTCACCTCCGGCCGCTCGCCGCTTCCTCTTCGGAGCGCCGTTCCTTCGAGGCGGCCGCGGTCATGACCGTCGTGACCTCGACGGGGTCAAGCAGGAGGGCGATCTAAGCCCGGGGGGCCCACGCTGCAAGTTCGGCCACACTTCCTGGGCCCCGCCATTAAGGCCAGCAGGCTGGGATGCAGCTCGGACCGCCGCGGGCACTACACAGTGTAAAAACATAACAACAACAACTAAAGGTAGCGGCCCAGGTGTTGCTCCGTGAAGTAACTTCTGCGTGTCTTGACAGTCCGTCGAGCACGGCGTCCGCGACAGTGAGCCCCCGGTGGACGCCACCACGAGCGCGTTCGAAACAGACCGCAGTTTTCCGAACGCGACCCGCGCGCAGTCTCCGGCGTCTCGGTGGTCTCGACGTGCAAGCTGCGCAGTGCCGCGACGGGCGCGCTCGGTGGCGGCCCCTGGCGGCTCGCCGGCGAACTAATCCCAGGTGCTAATGACGGAACACACTCGCCTGCCGGCCCCGCCGCGAGTGCGCTCGGTTATTGCGTTCCAAAGCGCCGTGCGTGTGAGTGCGTGCGTGTGTGTGCGTGCGTCCGTCTCCCTCGCACTCACTACAAAGACGGGCCTGATGCTGCGCCGCCGTGCCGCCGCACAGTGGGCCAGAAGGCCGATGGAGGTGGCCAATATTCCAGACGCGTTTTGAGCTCCAGAGTCGCTAAATGGGACTCGAACCGAACGTGTGACCCCGCCAATGGATTCCTGGTTCGAAGAGCAATCCATTGGTGGGGTCACACGTTCGGTTCGAGTCCCATTTAGCGACTCTGGAGCTCAAAACGCGTCTAGAGTTTTGTCCGCCTCCGCCGGTCTTCTGGCCCACTGCGCGCCGTGCCCCGCTAGGGCCGAGCCGTTGACCCTGCTGCTCCGCCCTGCTACCGTAGACTGATTCCGAGAGTCGTCGCTCTGTCTGCCTCGCACCTGTACGGGACGCCCCTGGAGTGCGAGAGAGACAGAGCGACGACCCTCGGAATCAGCTGGCTGGCTAGGCATGCAGACCGCAGCCGCCGCCTGTCCCGACAGCGGAGGCTTCGTGCCGATCCGTGCCGAACGCAAAATGACGGTAATTAGATTTCAAACTTTTCCCCGTCCAACTCGTTAGCCGTTGCTCTGTCTTGTATAAATAACTCTGAAACGTCGGCGCCCGCGGCGCCACCGCCCGCGGCCACCCGCCCGCAACGCCCTTCGACAGGGGCGCCAACCTCGTCGCGCGAAAATAAAAACACCGACGACGACACCTGGCTGAACGCCTGTGAGGTAGGCAACGTGACGGCACGGGACCGTTTGGGTTGCCTATCCAGCACGGCGCTCTCGGCCGAGGGGTGCTGATCACGGTGCTGCTGCTGGGCTTCCTAGAGCTTCGCGTGACCGAAACCGAGTCATCTCCGCGAATAGCCCTATTGTTCACTGACACGCTGCTGGAGGTGGTGCAGAAGGTGCGCGTGAAAAAAAGGAACGAGATGCTCTTGGTTTTCCTGATGTGTGAGCAGCACGTGTGTGATGACGTATACAGTGATGTCACCCAGCGAGGTGTTTGCCGGCGTGACGTCAGGGACCCTGACCTGGCCACGGCCGCCACGGCCACGGCGGTCCCGCGCGAGCATGGCGCCCGGCGTGGCGGCCAGGCCGCCCAGGCTCCAGGAATAACCATGAACCTTATCGCCAATCGCGCCGCCCGCTGGAGTGCGTCCTGGAGTCCGCCTGGAGAAAGGCCTGGAAGAGGCTTCCTTCTCGCTGCTGAGTCAGAAAGAACTTCTTCAAAATTCAAAATGAAAGAACCCCAAATTTGTCGCCAAAAATTTCCGCGACCCCCAGGAAAAATTTCGCGACCCCACGCGACCCCTCCTTTAGCATGCCTTTGATACAAAGTGCGATAATCC